AATGAATGTACAAATGTGCTTTACACAATTGATGTATGTATGGATTGTGATAAGAGTTGTATGAGCCCCTAATAAAATGATTTTTTTAAAGTACACAAAAAATTAGGCAATGAAATTCTGATATATAACAGCATGAGTAACTAACTACTCAAAACATGCTGAGTGAAATAAACCAGACAGGAGAGAACATGCTGCCTAGATTCTTTATATGTACCTCTAGAAAAGAAAGAGCTAATCTACAGGTGTACAACTTTTTTATTTGATCAAACTATTGATTTGTATTATATATTATATGCCAATAAAACTCCTTTTAAAAAAGAAAGAAAGAAGGACTTAATCTACAGCAATAAGAAGCAGATCACTGGTTGCCTGGAGCCAGGATGGGGTAGAGATTCCCTGGGAAGAGACACAGGGTAACCTTTGAGGTGATGGAAATTTTCTATACGTGCTTGTGGTAGTGGCTACACCAAACCAGAACCATTGCCATCCAATAGACTGACTCTGAGCCACCCTATATAGGGCTTCTGAGGCTGTATGAACCACCAACCTTGCGGTTTCAACCTAAGACCTAACCATAGTGCACAGGTGTATACATTTGTCAAAAATTATTAAACTATATGCTTCAAATGGGGGGGGACATATGTTTCCAAATTATCTTCCAAAAAAAGTTATATGTAAATATGCAAAGGGGGAACCAAGGCTAAGAACAGTTAAACTTTCTCAAGATTCCTTATTAGATGCTAAACACTATGCTAAATGCCTTCTCTGTATGTAATCTCATTTAATCCTTACTAACACCCCATATTTTGTTTTGCTTCCCCACTTTATAGATAAGGGAGCTAAGATTCAAAGTTTGTTTCTTTTTTTGCCTAAAGGCACAGTTTATCAGTGGTAAAGCTGAGGTTTGAAATCACATCTATCTGATTCAAAGCCTACCAATTTTATAATACACCATAGGCCTATAAATAGGCATTAATTACCTCATTATGCCTATTTCCTTTCTTGCTCTAAATAAGTCATATCAAACACCTTAGACCCAGAACTTCATGACCACAGAAACCACAAAACAGCCTAAAAATCTCCTTTGGATTCCAATTTTCCCTAGTAAGCAGCTTTTAACATATGCTTCCAGCATTCTTTCCATTGCCTTCACCAGTGCCAACCTTCTTTCCAACCTTGATTCTCATTCCAAGATTAATACCCTCTGACCTGACCAGTATTCAGACTTTAAAGTGCTCCTTGCTCCCAGCCCTCTCTTCATTATGTGATCTGAGGGATGTCCTGGATTCGCTCCATAGGGTAGGCTTGGGGCACCTAAGACGGCCCCAGACTATTGTTCCAGTCCTCTGGAGAAATACTCATACTACCATAAGTGTAATTTGCTCAGAGGCAATGAAGGTTTAACCTCACATTATCTCCTAGATACATAAATAATATATGTTCATTGTAGAAAAATGTGGGCAAACATAATTTCAATTAGCTTTTAAAACCCCTCATTACTATATCAATCAGAAATTCCTATCTCAGTATGCATGTTTACTGATGTATAGAAACACTTTAGTGATATCATGTTCCATAAATTGCATTGCAATTTGCCTTAACACTAAGCAATATGTAAAGAACATTTTTCCATACCAATTAATGTAAGTATTGTCATCTTTAAGAGGTGCAAAATATTCATTTATAGTCATATACTCTAAACTCTTTTTTTTTCCTTTAAATCATTTTATTGGGGGCTCGTACAATTCTTATCACAATCCATCCACCCATCCATTATTTCAAGCATATTTGTACATTTGTTGCCATCATCATTCTCAAAACATTTGCTTCCTACTTGTGCCCTGGTCCGTTATCTTCTCTTTTTTTTAATCGTTTTATTAGGGGCTCATATGACTCATCACAATCCATACATACATCAATTGTGTAAAGCACATTTGTACATTCATTGCCCTCATCATTCTCAAAATATTTTCTCTCCACTTAAGCCCCCGGCATTAGGTCCTCATTTTTTCCCCTCCCTCCCCACTCTCCCCTCCCTCATGAGCCCTTGATAGTTTATAAATTATTACTTTGTCTTATCTTGCCCTGCTCTAAACTCTTACCTGAACCCTCTATTATTGGACATGCCCATCATTATCAAGTTGTCACTATCAGAAGCAGTACAACAGAGTACATTCTTGGACATATTCCTTGTACTTCTACCAAATTATTTCAAGACAAATTTCTAAAAGAAGAAATACTATAGTATGTGTGTACTTTAGAGACTTTTAAAATATATTAGCAATTTGCCTTTCATAAATATATAATTTAGCATACAAGGTTTTTATGGTTACAAAAATAGTACATGCTCATTATCAAAAAGTCAAAACACCACTTAGGTAACATACCTACCAAAAACTGTTAATCAGATAAATCCAAATTGAGGAGCATTTTGAAAAAATAATTAGTCCAAATTCTTCAAATAGTGTCATGAAAAACAAAGGTTGGTAAACTATTCTAAAGACTAGAGAGAAGCATGCCAACTAGATTCAATGTGTAATCTTGAGGATAAGTGGAGAAAAGTGAATGAGTTACATGCTAATGAACAGTATTGTGGCAATGTTACATTTCCAAGTGCAATCATTGTATTAAGGCTATAAGAAAATGTTCTTAGGAGATGCATACTAAAGTATTTGGCGGGAATAATGATGTCTGCAATTAACCCTCAAAAAGTTCATGAAAGAAAAAACTAGGGAGAGAAGCTAATGTGGGAAAGTACCAGCACCTGGTATATCCAATGAAGAGCAGGACAATATGCATTACACTACTCTTGCAAGGTTTGAAATAAAATACTGGGAGAAAAATCTTTAAAGTCTTAGAAAACTTAAATACTATAAAAATGTATAGTTAGTAAACTAAAAATTGTCATTGTCTACTCCAAAGGTAATTCTTTTTGACAGTTTAATGAATAATATTCCAAATCTTTCTTATGTACATACTAGTATATTTATATAAGGGGACTTCAAAAAGTTCCTGGGGAAAATGGATTAAAAGAAAATAGAATTTTTCCACAAACTTTCTTTTTAAATAAAACTAGATAGTATCTTATACAATTCTGTAACTTAATCTCATGTTATCAAATACAACCTAAATATCTTTCCACATCAGTACATAGCTTATTTTTTCAGTACAACAATACCAAATAAAAGAAGCCCTAGCAGCATAGTGGTTAAGGCACTTAGCTGCTAGCCGAAAAGTCAGCAGTTCAAGCCCATCAGCAGCTTCATAACAGAAAGACGAGGCAGTGGGCAGTTGTCCTGCAGCTAAGGGCCTCTATGAGTTGGAATCAACTCAACAGCAATGGGTTGGGTTTGGGGACTCAGCAAAATAAATGAACTGCTACCGGGGAAGAAATCGCCTCTGAAGAATGAAGCCTAATCAGGGGTCTTGAGCTAGGAGAGAACTCACCCGAAATTCCATGACATCCACAAATGATTGGTAGTAATTGGTAAGGAATCTAATTATCTCAGCTTTTTCCCGATGTACTGGTCCTAAATGTTGCTGCAGAAAACAAGATGGTAATTGATTAAAATAAGCCAGGAAAAAGATGGGTCATACGTCAAACATTCTTAGAGAGAGTTAGAATACACTGACAGTGAGTGCTGAGAAATGCCTGACTGCTTGAAGATCCTTTTGTTTTATTTTAAGGTTTTATTGGCATGTAACTCACATACCATACAATTCAACTGAAGGTCTCTAAACAAAAAGATTCTCTACCAAGCTAGTATGACGACATGTGATCCTGACCAAATATAAACGGCAAAATATAAATGGATTACAACTTCCCTTTCAGTTTAAAAGGATTACAGCTTACATCCAAGTCAAAAGAAGCAGAATAAGAAGATGCTACAGGTAAGATGAATGAGAATCTATGGCAAATATTTAATAAAGAGAAGACATAAGTCATATCTTACTGGACAAATAAATCTGAGACTCTAAGTGGGAAACAGGAACAACTTGTATATGTACTCTGCTGAGTGGATAAAGCTGTCTTCCTCTACAAAAAATAAAGTGGTCTCATGAATCGTACCATGGAGAAGAGGCAATACTCCAGCTGACCCTAAGATTATGCTGCCTTCTCTCTCAGAATCCTTAAGACTATAGCAACCTGAAGTCCTGGGGTTGATACTCAGAAAACCAAGACTATCCATTCTTGCCAAAACCAAAGAAACAGTCAAATGAAGGGAGTTTGAGCCATGCAAAGACAGATATGTCAGTCCAAGAACAGAGAGAAAAGAGACCGAGTTCTTACCGTGCTGTTGCGAACATCCATGTTGGGAAATTTCTTGTTGATGTACTTGATAGATGATTCCATGGCCTTTTCCACTAAGAAAGGTGGCTTGGATTTGGGGTCTGAACAAGTCTGCACAGATAAACCACATTATATTTCAACTTTCTCCCACCCCCCAGAAAGGAATCCAGAAATTGATAAAATCATGAGAAGAGGTCAGGAACAACTTCCAGACTATTAAGCCAACTAAGCGACAATTTGGCATCTTGTCTGCCTAGGTAAAACTAATATCTACTTGGTTCCAACATTAAGAGGAAGCTCCCTCCCAACCCTCAATGCAGCCGGAAGCAGCAGCTGTTCAGAATGTAAGAGTCTGTGGGTGACTCAATATCACTATTACAACTCATATAAGTATCTCATCCCCAAGAACATTTATGGACAGTATAGAAGCACAGAAACCATGTTCCTAGTGATTTGTTTTATGACAAAATGTACAAAAGTTTCCCCTGTGAATCTCCAATTTTCTCTTTCAGGAATTCCACATTCTCACCCCTGTATTTATCTCCGTCCTTCCCTGTGGTTAGCCCAGGCCCTAAAATATCTCTGGCCATCGGCTTCTCCCATTTTAAAGTTCCTGTATGTGTAGTACATACACATATGCATACACAGAACCACAGCCCTTGCCAAGCATCCCCAGCGCCTCGATTAGTATTCATTGTCCCAGACTCTACATACTTGAGAAAGTACCTGCCTTTTTTTCATCTTTCTTTTTAAGGGAAGTACCTTTATGGAGGAGTTTGTGCCAGAAGACTCGATGTTAGGTACCCTCAGAGAATGCAGGGCCAGCAATAAATAAAACCCAGAATTCTAGACCCCAGACCTTTATCCAAGTAGCTCAGAATACAATTCTTTCTTATCTACATCCCTCTGCTTTCTCACTGGATCCTACTTAGAAAGGGGAAACCCTGAAAAGAAGCCTCCCAGCATTGTTTGGTTTATGTAATTTGAGAGTGGTCAGAGGCCAATCCAGCCAGTAGGACAGAGCACAAGCTAACTGCTGGACCTGCTGGACCCAGGGTTTCCTGGCACTTGCTCAGTTGTTCATGCTTACCTTCTTGATGTTGTACACGCGGATGAGAACCCCCTGACCTCGGTCATTTAGAATAGTGAGCTTCTCGGCTAACTTATGCTGGTACGCGGAGGTCAACGACATGATGGCCACCGACAGAAAGGAGCATCCGGAGAGCAATGCCTGTTCTCAGACACTTTTAGCTTGGGTGGTGACACACTCAGGGTGGAGAGACTCAGCCTGGTTGGTGCGTTGGTCTTCCTGTAGTTTCTGCAATTGGCTGTTGGGTGAAAGCAGTCATTGCCTCTCACAGGGCCTCTGAACTTCCGTGTTCTTTCTCTTTGCACACTCAGCAGGGGAAACTTCCTCTTTCTGATTGTAGTATTTTTGGTAAAGACAATGAAGTAGGGGGAAAGAGAGCTGGAATTCAAGGTTCTTCTCCAACCTTATCAGCCTTACCCCTTCATTACTTTATGGTATAAAACTTTATACCAGACAAACAAGTACTCACCCCTTGTACCTTTATACTTTTCTTTTATACACTCACCAAGAACTGCCCTATGATTTTC